TGTTTATCTGGAAATGACCTAATTTCACCATCATATTTGAATGAGAGTTTTGCAGGATATATTATTCTTGGCTGGCAATTTTTTTCTTTCAAGGTTTTGTATATGTCATTCCATTGCCTTGCCTGCATGATTTCTGCCGAATAATCCGAGTTTAGTCTTGTTGTTTCTCTTCTATATGTGAGTTTTCGTTTTTCTCAAGCTGCTCTCAGGATTCTTTGTTTGTCTTTGGTTTTAGCAAGCGTGATTATGATATGCCTTGGTGATTTTCTTTTGGGTCTATCCTATATGGAGTTCGTTGAGCTTCTTGGATGGTCAGCTTTTCATCTTTCATGATATTGGGGAAGTTTTCTGTCAGCAATTCTTCAAATCCTCTTAGTGTTTTCTGTTTTCTCCTCCTGTTCTGGAACTCTGATCACTCGCAGATTTTTGCTTTTGATTGTATCCCACATAATTCTCAGGGTTTCTTCATTTTTCTTCGTTCTTTTTTCTGATTTTTCCTCAAACAGATCGTATCCAAGTGTTTGTCTTCAATTCCGCTGATCCTGTCTTCCATTGTTTCAAACCTGCTCCTCAGCCCTACTATGACACTGTCCATTTCTGAAATCTCGTTGTTTATGTTCTGGATTTCTAATTGTTGTTTTTGTATGATTTCTAGTTGTGAATTTATTTTAGCATTTTGTTCCTGTATTGTTTTCTGGAATTCTTCCATTTTTTTTTGTCTGTATTTTCTATGAATTTGTCTATTTTTTCCTCATTTTTGTCTGCTTTGTGTGTCAACTCTTGGATAATTCTGATATTAGACATTTGAATTCCCTATCAGTTAGTTCTAGTTCCTTTTCTTCTACTGGAAAGTCATCTGGTATTTTATTTTGGACACCTACTGGAACCACCCTGTCCTGTTTTTGTAAATATTTTGATATTGTCTGCTGTCTTCAGGGCATTCAGTGGTTATTTTCCATGTTTATTGATTGTAGATTTGTTTGTTTCGTCCTGCTTTTTTGTTTTATTTGGTTATGTCTGAGCAGGCGGGCTGTGCGTTCTTTGTTGTTTGCTCGTCTGTGGCCACAATACTTTTCACCTCCTTCTCCAATGGGCAGGGTCAGTCACTGGTATGGTACAGAAGGGCAGGTCCAGCTGAAGGGGAGTTGCTGGGATGGGTTGTTTGTGGTACGTACCAGGGCTGACAGTGCGGACCAGGAACCAGTGCAGGGTAGGTTCCAGTAGGCCATGCCTATGCTGCTTGGGAGTGTGATGTTCAGCGCACGGTGCAGGTAGGCAGGAAAGAGGGGGTAGACTGTGATGTATGGAGCCAAGACAGGTATGGGAAAAAGGAGAGAGAGGAGAGAGAAACAGGAGCCAAAAACAAACAAAAAGAGTGCTAAGAGAGCTTCCTATTGGAGTGGAGAGATGAGAGACTGAGAAATGATGAAAAACAAAAATGAAGAAAAAAAAGGGTAAAAGAAAAAAAATGAATAAATCAAGAAACTGGAAATGAAGAAGGACAAAAAGGGAATAAAATAGAGAAGAAAACAAAACAAAGAAACAAAAAAACCAAAGCCAAGAAAAAAGAACTGCCCCAGGGATGTCCCTTTGCGTGTACGCAGAGTAGGGGAGTAGCTTCCAAGCTGTATGGTACTGCCTGGCTAGAAGGGGCTCCCAAGCGGAGAAAAGAAAAAGAAAACAAACAAATCAAAACAAAACAAATCAGAGCAAACAAACAAACAAAAAAGCCCCAGGGATCCCACCAGCGTGGCGGCACGGGCCGGGAAGCAGTTTCACAGTTGAGTGGTGTTTCGCAGCCTTTTAGGAAGAAGCAAAGATGGCACAGGGAGCCAGGTATTTGAGAGAACAGAGGGGGAGGTGGTGAGAGGTAAGGAAGAAATCTAAAGAAGCGGAAAAAAGCAGCACCAGCAGCCAACAAAAAGCACTCAAGGAGCCGGCCAGTGTGGGCGGGTGGAATCCAACCGACGCTGGGGTGAAGCTGGTGCTTCCCGGCCAAGAGACTGTGTCTGCAGGAAGCAGAGGAGGCTAAGTGGGGGTGAAGAAGGGTGGGGGGGGGTGGGAGAGCCTCTATCACTGGTTACTGGTTGTTCTGTCTCCTGCTGGAAGCTCTGTGAAGCTGCTTTCTCGTACCCCCTGTTCGCTGATCTCTGATAGGAGTCCAAGATGGTGGATCCGTGCTGCGGTAGCTGATAGGGGACCTCTGCATATATTTCTCCTCACTCTCTGTTCTCGGTCAGTTTCTTATTCCATTCGGTGCTTGGCTGAGTTCTTTATCTCTTCATTTGATGCTTAGGGTTTCAGGATTGACATGTGACTCCGTTTGACTTAGTTTTTCTGATCTTTGCTGCAGAGAGATGGCATGGTGCTTTTATCTCTTCTTACTTTCTTGTTGGTGTCCTTTGAAGCACAAAAGTTTTAAAATTTAATTAAGTCTAATTTTCCTGTTTTTTCTTTTGTTGCTTGTGCTTTTGGTGTTACCTCTAAGAATCCTTTGCCAAATCCAAAGTCATGAAGATTTACACCTATGTTTTCTTCTAAGAGTTTCATAGTTTTAGCTTCTACATTTTGGTCTTTGCCAATATGTATTGGGGAAAGTTGTTTCTCATTAATTTGTGGCTCTTTAAGGATGAATACAGTTGAGCCTGTATTCATTGTTTGATGGTCATTCACAGTGCATCTTCTGTGAGGGTAATCATTAAGTTGCCTTCTAATTCTCCAATTCTGAGATTTGGCAATTTTTATTTTTCTATATTAACTGGTTACAAATCTACAGTCAACATTTGCCAGCTTAGTACAGGTATGCCATCAGCCCTGTGTTGAATATCAGCAGTATATAAATACAGGTTTAGGCTAGTAGAAGAAGAGACTTGGGCTGACACAGAGGCACCCCAGTTCTCAGGTGGGCAGGGAGGGAGTGCCTGACTAGTACAGGAAGCTGGGTTCTCTTGGCACTGACTGTTCTGTCTGGCTCCTCCCAGGTCTACATCCGCACGCCTTCTGGTGAGGTGCAGACTGTCCTTGTCCAGGACAGCCCCCCAGCAACAGCTGTGACCACCTCTACCACCACCTGTAGCAGTCCTGCATCCCGGGCTTCCCATGTCAGTGGGAGCAGCAAAAAGCATTCAGCTGCCATCCTCCGAAAAGAGCGTCCCCTGCCAAAGATTGCCCCCGCTGGGAGCATCATCAGCCTGAATGCAGCCCAGCTGGCGGCAGCTGCCCAGGCCATGCAGACCATCAATATCAACGGCGTCCAGGTCCAGGGAGTGCCTGTCACCATCACCAACACTGGTGGTAAGGGGAGGCCCCTGCTGCCGAGTGTTGGTAGCGGTGCCTTGTGCCCCACACGTGGGGACTGTGGTTTCCCAGCAACAACAGTGATGATACCTCCCATCATTTGCCTGTCTCCTTCCAGCTTAAAAGCACATCTGGTGTCTTTTCTCATTTGGTCTTTATAGTAGCCCTGTGAGATATTTTAAGACACATAGTTCCCATCTTACAGCTGAAGGCTTGAATGTGATGGAGAAAATAAGAAGTACTCAGGAAAATCCTATGACACACAAATGCAAATTAGTTTGGTACAGACCGAGGACACGTGTTCAAGGGATACAGTGTCCAAGAGCTTTAAGAAAGGCTTCTTGGAAGAGGAAGCTTTGAGTTAAGGTTGGAAGAAAAGGAGGAGCCTTCCACAGTGGGGTAGCTTGTGCTGCACTTCAGTTCAGTGGAGAGACTGACATTGTGAAAGCAGCCTTGCAAATAATCAAAGGCAGAATTGTAACCAACTAGCAAAAAGGGTTCCTTGCATTCTTCACCTGGGAGAAGGGCATCTGTCAAGGTAGTGGCTCCCTGAGCCTCCTCTCTTCATCCTTAATGCATTTACTGCACTTCATCCATTAGGTGTTCCCACTTGAGGTGACCCCAAGAGAGGCGATGACAAGGTTCCTCTTCTTCTGTAGGGAGCTCAAGGAACTAGGTTGCATGAAGGCACCCACTCAGAGGGACACAGTATCAGGTCAGGGATGCTTCCTTGCATTTAATGATGGCCTTATGCGTAGGTGTCACCCTAGAGGACACAGGTTTTTTCCAAAGCCTATAGAATTCTTTTCTCTTTTTAATCAACAAAAATCCCTGGAGACTTTCCAGAAAGCAGAGTTGACATCTCCCAAGGACCTAAGGTTGGCAGAGATTCTGGAAGAAACACTCTAAGACAAACCAATACAACACCCTTCTGAACTGAAATTGTGTGGGCAATGTCTTAAAGTGAATTCTGCCTGTGTCGTATAGTGGTTCAGGCTGTTGACTCTGAAGTCAACTGCCTGGGTTTAGGTGCCAGTTCTACCACTTACTAGCTGTGTGACTAACATGTTACTGAGCCTTGGTTTCTCCGTCTGTAAAATGGGGATGATAGCACCTATCTCACAGAGCTGTTATGAAGATTAAATGGGTTAATACATAAAAAGTCCCTAGGATGGTGTCTGGCACATAACAGGCTCTCAAAAATATTAACTGCTACTACTGTCATCTGAATCACGTGCAGAAGGGAAGAAGGGTCGATCTGAGGTGTCGGGCTGTCAACTCTGCCCGCTTAGTCTTCCTCACCATGACTGTGCCCTCCCCATCCCCACAGGGCAGCAGCAGCTGACGGTACAGAATGTTTCTGGGAACAACCTGACCATCAGTGGGCTGAGCCCCACCCAGATCCAGCTGCAGATGGAGCAGGCCCTGGCCGGAGAGACCCCTCCTGGGGAGAAGCGTCGCCGCATGGCCTGCACATGCCCCAACTGCAAGGATGGGGAGAAGAGGTAACTGGAGGGGTAACTGGGCACCCTAAGCCCCTCTCTGGGACAGCTGCCAGGGTTGAGGGCCAGTGCAGACCAGAGGTTACAAGGTGGCTGCTTCGGTCCATGCCACCTTGCCTTTTCACCTTACCCTGTTCTCTGACCTAAGCTCACATCCTCTCTCCATCCTGGTCCTGTCCCCATCTTCTACCTCTTCCTTCTCCTCTCTTCCATTCCCTCCACCCCGTTGTCAACCTGATTCCCAGGTCTGGAGAGCAGGGCAAGAAGAAGCATGTGTGCCATATCCCCGACTGTGGCAAGACTTTCCGGAAGACGTCCTTGCTGCGGGCCCATGTGCGTCTGCACACCGGCGAGCGGCCCTTTGTCTGCAACTGGTTCTTCTGTGGAAAAAGGTTCACACGGAGTGACGAGCTCCAGAGGCACGCTCGCACCCACACAGGTCTGTACACACACATCCCACCTCGCCCCCACACAGGCCTGCTCCTCACCCCCACCTCCTGATGACAACAGAGAATTCCTATGGCTGGGAAGTTCCTGGCCTGCCAAAGAACTGCCACACTGAGCGAGAGCCACACACTGCCTTCTCAGGGGGTCTAGGGATTACACAGGAGATTCCTTCAAGTCATTGCCTTATCATGGCTTTTCCCAAAGTAATGTCATTTGCATTGTATAACCCTGATGACTTTTGCCATGTCTCCATAGTTATTTATTTAATAAGAACTGATCTAGTGTGCCAGGCACTGTACTATGTATGCACTTTGCAAATTAACTAATTTAATCCTCACCACTCTGTGGAGAGGGTACTTGGATTGGCCCCATTTGGCTGAGGCATGGAGAGGTAAAGTCATGTGCACAAGGTCACAGCTAGTGACGGTGAAGCTGGGTTCAAACGGAGGTGGGCTGGCTCCTGAGTTCATGCTCCTAACCACCATCTACTCATGCCACCTCTCCTGCTATGATTTACCTCATAATTTTCCTTAAATTGTCTCACTGTTTTTACTCATGTATGTCCTGGTGGCACAGTGGTTAAAGCAATCAACTGACTGCTACCCGAAAGGTTGGTGGTTGTTCAAAACCACCAGTGGCTCCATGGGAGAAAGATGTGGCAGTCTGCTTTCATAGAGATTTACAGCCTTGGAAACCCTGTGGGGTCGCTATGAGTCAGAACTGACTTGATGGCAGTGGGGTTGGTTGGTGTGTCCTGTACAATGCTACCTTTGACATCACAGGTGTGATATCGTGGTTATACTTTTTAATGCACTGGCCAATAAATACAAAACTATTAAAATGAAAAAATGTTCATTCATCTACCACCTGAACTTGTCTTGGGTATCCCGAAACGCTGCTATAGTGACGGCCCCTGGTGAGCAGACCCGTCCTAGGACTAGGGGTGGGGACACATGCCAGAGCTCTTGCTCCTGGCCAGTGTGGTGAGACGACTCACACCACCCCCTCATAGGCCAAAAAATAAATACTCCACAGAAGAGCAGCTGACTCATGCGGGGCCAGTATGGTTCGGACAACCAAGTGCTCAGGGTTGGTGAGAGCAGAGTGGCCTAGAGTTTTCCTGTAAGAGGGAAGATGTTGAGCCAGGTTCGAAAGTCAGAGGAAAGATCAGAAGACAGCAGGAGGACATCCCTACATGGGAAAAGTCCCATAGGGCAGAGGCAAAAGTATATGTGTCTTGGGCAGGGGACAGGGAGTGGAACAAAGTAGACTAGAGAGGTCAGATGGGGAGAGAGCAGTGAGGACTGGTAAGAGGGTTTCACTCGACAGATGACAGGGAGCAAATGGGGTGCAGGCAGGAAGCGGGAAGAACATGTAGGGTGGTATCAGCTCTGCCTGGTGCCCCTTGCACGTGCCTGTCCCTTTTGGTGCCTAGGACAGTGCTGTGCATGGACTTTGAGTGATGGCCATCTCCTCTTCCAGGGGACAAACGCTTCGAGTGCGCCCAGTGTCAGAAGCGCTTCATGAGGAGTGACCACCTCACCAAGCATTACAAGACCCACCTGGTCACGAAGAACTTGTAAGGCCAGCTGAGGCGGCAGACCCCGAAGATGCAGTCCCTGTCTGCGTCCTGCCTGGGCCCCTGGAGGAAAAGAGGCCCGTGGCTGCTCTGGGCCTGCCCTCAGCCCTCTCTCCTGTTCTGCGACTATGTCCCCACAGGAAGGGACTTTGCTGCCCCCCACTCCTCCTCCTGAAGCCCCTTGGCTCCACCCCAGCCCCTTCCCTCTCACCAGGAGCTCCCGGCCTGCCCAGACCAGGGACACTGGCCGAGCCCAATGAGACGTTCTAAACCAGGACGAATGGGAACCCTTATTTCCAAAGGAAAAACGTGAATTTCACTCCATCGAGGAGCAAAGTGAGCCCCACCCTGCCCACTCCCCTCCCCCAACACTGTAGTGACCTAGAGCCTGACCCTGAGCCTGGCCAGCCCGAGTCGCATCGTGCCATGCCCCCACCCCTCTCCTGCTCCTCCCTGGCCCCACCGGACACAGTGGTCACCCTGGGGTCCTGCACCCAGGGCTCCCCCTGGCATCCCCCTCTGGGGAGGCTCAGGAGGCCGCCTCTACTCCACACGCCCCCAGCCCCTGCCACAACTCTCCAGCACATTCCAACTTTCTATTTAAAAAGTAAAGATACCCATGGACTCCTCCCGATTCCCCTGTTTTTCTATGGAGAACGTTGCCTTATACTCTACTTCAGATGATGAACACTGTGTACTGTGTGTGCTTTACAGAAGTTTTATTTAATTGCTCCCTTCTGCCTTTCCTTGTTACTCACCTCCCCCATATGCCTGCTTTCAGTTGAGGGTTTTGGGGGCAATGATGAGCATATGAATTTTTTTCTCACTAGCAATTCTCATTTCTAAATGACACAGCATTTGAATTCAAACCTGGATTCAGCTAAAAACGCCTTCACATACTGAACCTCTTCCGTTTCCCCCTCATCTCCTCCATCCCGGCCCGGCCCCAGCTCTTCTTGTGTACAGTGTATATTGTATAATAGACAATTGTGTCTACTACATGTTTAAAAACATATTGCTTGTTATTTTTGAGGCTTTTAAATTAAACAAAAATCCAACTTTATTTTTAGTTGTAACTGCTTGAGGTATGTTTTATGAATTAAGTGACAGATTTGTTATCCTTTATTAACGATATACTTTGTTGGTCAGCGCTGAACTGACAAAAAATTTTTTCTTGCTAATAAATTTAGTTGCCTGAGGCAAAATCTGCAACTTGGCAATGCAGCCTCCTTTGTCTTTTACCTTGGAGAGCTTGGAGAGGGAACTCCAGAGGAGGGAGCCATGGTCTCTCAGAGCGGCCTGCCTGGTAGAAGGTAGGGCCGTGCCCTCCTGACCCTCGGCAATTCCTGCCACCCGTGGTGAGTCCACAGTGTGAGAGAGGCCACAGCCACATGGACCTCATGGCATTGGCACAAGCCCCCAGAGTACCTGGCTGGGACCTTCAGAGGCAGGGCCCAACACAGGGTGTCTGTTTTTTTCTCCTATCAGCCAGTTTTGCCTGGAGCAGAGTGGATAGCACAGAGGCAAGGATAGCAATGACTTCTGCCAGCAAGCTAATTCATCCACTCATTGCCCCAACCCATCAGAGCCCTTTAGTAAGAAGCCTGGGAGAGAAGAGCCAAAGGGGGCTTGGCTCAGTTACTTCCAGAAGGCTACAGAGTGTGGAGAAAAGGTGGTGCCCCACAAGTGTGGAGGTCCAGGCAGGTTCCTGGGAGGGCCTGGCAGCTGTAGGACCACGAGCCCAGCTCTATCCAAGAGAGAGTCCTTGCCACATAATCTGTTTTTCTTCTGTCCCCCTTCCCCAGCACCCGAGGGAGGAGGGCAGTGGGTCAACTGGAGCCTGATGGTTTTAGTAAGTGCCACAGATCTCAAATTCTGGTGGGGATTTTTTCTTGCAGATCTATTAGGAAGTCAGGAGTCTCTGGGTGGCACAAATGTTTAAGCACTCAACTACTAACCAAAAGGTTGGCAGTTTGAACCTACCCAGAGGTGGCTTGGAAGGCCTGGCAATCTGCATTTGAAAGATCACGGCCTTGAAAACCCTATGGAGCAATTCTGCTCTGCATGAATTGACTCCACGGCAACTGGTTTGATTTTGGATTAGGAAATCAGGAGTTGTGCTGTTATGCAATGGTGACCAGTGCTAGCTCAGTGCCCGTACTGAAGCCTAGCAGGGGCCTGAAAAGAATCTGGGCTAAAGGGAGAGGTGAGTCAGTCTCAAGCATACAGAGACCCATATGTACTTCCCTTATAATGATGATGCTTTTTACTCACCCTCAAAGACACAGCCAGGGTTACTTCTGTGCAAAAGTGGCTGTCTATTCCCTTAACCTATCTCCTTTGACACCAGCGGCCTGCATTTGCAAACAGCTTATCTGTAGAGCCAGTCAGCCCTCATGTAGACTGAAGGCAGAAAAAGGAGAGGCTGTGTTGCCCTCATCTCAGATGGATTTATCTCAGGATCTCTGCCCTTGATCACTGCTTGGTTACTAGGCAGGGAGACCCATCCTCCTTGTGCCTAATCTCTTCGGACTATACTAGACCAACAGCGGCCTCCTCATCAGCCCCTGGGCCCCTCATCTCATTGCTGCACTGGCAGGAAGACATGAGGTGTACTTATCTATTCCTTGTGCACAGACAGCACAACTGGAAAACGGCCCTGCTGTGTGTGTGTTTTTTTTTTTTAATAATAATTAATTTTGTTGTTATTGAGGATATACACAGCAAAAACATACAACAATTCAAATTTCTACATGTACATTTCAGTGACACTGATTACACTCACCCCCTTTTTCTGAGTTGTGCTTCCTCCATTAAAATACACTCACTCACCCCTAAGGTTCCTATCTGATCTTATGAGTTGTTGTCAATCTGATCCCATATAGATAGATCTTAAAAGAGCACAATGCTCAAGGCAGACATTCTTTATTAGTTAAGCTAAACTATTGTTTGGTTTTAAGAAGACTTAAAAGGGGTATTTTTGGTTTAAGGTTTAAAGATTGTCTTAGGGCAATAGTTTCGGGGGTTCATCCAGCCTCCATGGCTCCAGATAGTCTGGCTTCTATGAGAATTTTAAATTCTGTTCTGCATTGTCCCCCTTTTGATCAGGATTTTCTATAGACTCTTTGATCAAAATGCTCAGTAATGGCTGGCCTTGCCATGTTTTGAATAAGGGGACCGGTGGAGAGAAGAGAATATTAACGAGTTGACCTCTTTCTGCCACATGTTCCCTTGGCTTTGCTCTCAGGCTCCAAGAATCATCCATTCCTGGGAGATGATTCCAAGTCATGTATTTCATGCTGCAAGTGTGGAAACTGACCTCAGCATCGTCTGGAAGTGAAGGACTAGCGGCCAGCTGGTCAGACTGGGCAAGCTGGCACACCGGGATCTCCTTTCTCCAGGGGGACACATGGGCTCGAAAGGGACTGCCTGACCATCTCTGCCTCGCAGGGAGCCTGAGATAGAAAGGGGGTGAGAGAATGTATTCTACCTAGCACAATGAAGGCACCAGGAAGGAATGGAAAGACCTTGTAGCAAATTAGCCCTCAGCCAGCTTTAATCCACCTTTTATTTGAGAATTGCAGGGGGCTTCAAGCCAGACTTTGGGGACAGGGGAGGCGGTGGGGGGACTCTCGAGGGTGGGATGCAGCCCAAGCTTGCCCTAGGCACCTGGCCGGGCCCTTGTTCCTTCCCAGCCCCTGGCTTTTAAAGGACACGTGGATGAAAATCTGGGGCAGGCCACATGCAACAGCTCGGGGGTGGGGGCCGCACAGCCTGTGTTTCCCCCTCTGCTCCCCCTACCTGCCCAGGGTCATCAGCACCAAAGTCTACCCCACCCCACCCCTCCTCTCTGCTCAGCTGATGCTAAACACTGAGCTCTCCTCATTAATCCAAGATACTGGGATTATAGGTCTGAAAGAAAGAGGGCTGGGGAAGAATTCCCCCTCCTGAAGTCAAACCCAGGCAAAGTACTTTTTTTTTTTTTTTTTAACCAAACCAGCAAATAGGGCTCAGCCTTTCTTCAAGCCACTTGGTGAATCTTTATGATCATCTTTTGACTGCCCTTCAAGGTTCTACACCTGAGGTCAATGACAGTGCTGAAGTTACAGCCAGCCACACGCATTGGTGACATAATTTAAGGAAGGCAGAATGGGTCCAGAGAACAGTTCAGACCTAGACCCAAGCTCAGGGTGGGTGGATTGGGCCTCTGAGTGGCTGCAGCCCTGATCTGAATGGCAGAGTATGGGGTGTTTCTGATCCCCACTGAGTATTTCCACTTTCCAAACAAACCTGAAACCCCTTCAAAGACACCTCTGCTGCGCCCAGAACTCAGGCTGGAAAAGTTAAGCTGTGGATTATTTAGATTCTGAAAAATAATGAACCCATCTTTTCTCTGCCTCCTAAACCCTGGTCTGTTCTCAGTACTTCATCACTAGAACCTTCCTCAGCACTGATCTGGGGCCCCTCCCCTTCCTTGTGACCCGTTTAGGTCATCCGGAGTCCCTTCCTCCTTCCCTCCCTTGAGGGCTGACCCCCCTCCCTCCCTGCTGCATTTCAGAGCCCTCCTAGTCTGTCCTTCTTGCTGGGGCTCACCTTGATGCCCCACTGCCACCAGGGCCCCGTCTTCCTCTCTCCAGGTAGATGCTCCCACCCACCAGCCCACTGCAAACTCAGACACCTCAGGGACCAGGAGGGAAACACATTTCTCAATCACAAAGAAAACAGCTGGCCTTATGGCAGAGAACATCAGGGGAGTGTGGGACTGCCAAAATGAGGTATACAGCTCCCATCAAAAGAGTGCCCCCACTCAGCTTTGGTCAGTTGATGCTATGCAAGAATGCTAGATTTGATTTTTGTGAGAGAAGCCAAAGATGTAGAGTTTTATGTGAAATCTCCCAGTTTTCAAATGCTGTCTCAAAATTGTCTAAAAACATAGCAGGACCGTTTTCAGCCCTCACACCAGTAGTTTATGACTTCTGCATTAACCATCCCCTTCCCTGACCAGTGGAGTCCCTGGGTGGTGCAAAACAGTTAAGCACTTGCCTACTAACCAAAAAGTTAGAGGTTCAAGTCTACCCAGGGACACCTTGGAAGAAAGGCCTGAAAGACCTACTTCTGAAAAATCAGCCACTGAAAACCCTATGGAGCACAGTTCTACTCTGGCACACACCGGCATTGTCATGGGGTCGCCATGAGTTGGCACTGACTTGATGGCAAGTGGTACTGGTATTTCACCAGTGTCGTTACCACCTTTCCTGGACCTCTCCCTTACCCACCACCCTCCTTAACTCCCCCAGGCCCTCTTCCCTCCTCAGACATTCATTCTCATCCTCCCTCACTGGAAGCTCATGATACCTGAATCAGTATCACCAGCCCAGACCCCTCCCCTAAACTCCGGACTTTATCATCCATCCTGACCAAATGTGGGTGTCCCATAAACCCTCACACTCAAGAGGTCCGATAATGACTTCAGCTTTTTCTCCAAACCTTCTCCTCCAACATGCCCCACTTCAATGAACAGCATCGTCCATGTCACCTACAGTCAACCCTGGGTGAGCTGATTCCTTCCCCTGCATACCTCCTCCTCCTCATCCCCATGCCCACACACCAGCCCCCACCCCAGCTTCCCCGTAGATAAGCACTACAGTGTCTCCCAACACCCCCCGCCACCAACCTTGCCTTTTTCCCTCAGCCCATCATCCACTTGGTCCCCAGAGCCAGGTCCCAAAACACAAGTCTAATCACTGAAATATTTAATTATTTAGATAAAAGCTGGTTTAAGACTGTGATGCAAACGCATTAGAAGAAAACAGGCAAGGTTTAATTCCCAAACCCACACACAGTCTTTCTGTTCCATACTGGCAAACCATCTCCGTACAATAGAATATTGCAATATATTTTCTATTCATTCGAGATACTTTCTCAAGAAAATATCAATAATTTCATAAAGTTGAGGGGAAGGTGGCGGATTGTTGAAGGAAAAGCAGAAGCAGGGAAAAATTTACTTCTCCCACTCAGATAAAGCCCTTGGTGGGGCTACGTCAGGGGCAGCAGCAGCCAGTGGCCTGTCCCCCCTCTGGTTATACACCGTGGGGTGGCTTTGTAATCCAGACAGAAAAATACAACACATGCCGACTTATTATCTTCAAGACAGAGGGAAAATATAAAAAGGCAACCAGTTGCAAATGTCCTCACTAATCATCAAGGCGGGGAGAGGCTGTCAGAATATAGTACTTTTCCCCTCCATCTGGGTCTTTAAGAAACAAGACACTTTCTTCAACACTTTGGTTCAACAATTAAAAAACAACAACAGAACAAACCCATTGCCATGAAGTCAATTCCAACTCATGGCAACCTCGTGTGGTACAGAGTAGAACTGCTCCACAGGGTTTTCTGGGCTGTAATCTTTATGAAAGCAGACCGCTAGACCTCTCTTTCACAGCCCCACTGGATGAGTTTGAACCACCAACCTTTAGATGAGCAGCTGATCACAAACCAGGGACCCTATGGTTTAACAATATCATGGGATAAAAAAATTTTTAGAATCTTTGTGCTTAAAAGTCTGGTCCTGGCCACCTGCATGATAACTCTTCAGCAAGGCACACCAAGCCCCTGCCTACCTGTCCAGCCCGTTTACTCACCACGTTGCACCAGCCACATCACAACACTCGAAGTCTCCCAAATGCACTTGGCCTTTCCTCACGTTGCTCCCGCCTCCTGGAATGCCTATTTTATTGTCCATCTAGCAAACACTTATCAAGACAAGTCAAATGGCCACTCTCTTTATAAAGCCTTTTCTGTCTGACCCCCAGGGAAACTTCCCTCTTTTTGCTCCCCTCTACCCTATAGAATATGCTAAAATACCTGCAGCTCTTTAGCTTACAGATCTGCCTCTCCTTATAGACTGCAAGCCCCCTGTGGGCAGAGACTGTCATCTTCATCTGGTATTCTCAGACCTAGCTCAGTGCCTCGTTTATAAGAAGTCTTTAACAAATGTCTACCAAATGAATAAATTATCTACACCATTATACTGAGCCCTTGCCTCTTCAGCAAACCTACAACTCCTATTCAAATGACCATAGTCTTGGTTCCCTAGAATCCAGGGTCCGGGGTAGCAGTAGTCCAGGAATGCTAAGAGAGCAGCCCCATGGACAAAACCGCCCAAGGTGAAGAACACTGATTCCTGCTTAAATGGGTGCAAGTGCAGAGATGGGGTTGGGGGGGACAGCAATGTTTATATGTGGAAAAACACCCTCAACAAGAAAGTAAATCCAATCAACTCTCTCTTTTTCATGCTGATGGAGGAAAATGATGGCAGCACAAAAAGTTTCAACCAGTGGATAATCCGTAGATCAATATCATTAAGCTTTGAGACCTATGTTATTTCTTTGCAGCAAACTTGTCTTCCAGGTTCTATTCTGGCTCAAGCCTTGAGCACATAATAAAGGATGATATGCATCTAATGTGGGGCTTTACAAAGCCTAGCTGGAATGCAGACACCTGGGCAGGGCAGGGCAGGGCAGAAAGTTCCCCTTACCTGGCACAGTCCTGGGGTGCCTGCCTAGGTGGTTCTTGCAGCTCCCCTTCCTGATGTTGGTGGAAACGGAGGCTACAGAGTAGGCCACAACCCAAGGTTCAGCCAAGTCAAAGATGGAATGTTCACTGGCAGGTTTCCCATCTCTCAGCCCTGTGTCTGCAGCCACCTGCGACCTTGTAACCTCAGCTATTGCTGGCATTGATGGACCTTCCTAGATAGTTAAGAAAAGGGGGAAACTCAGCAAAGTTAGGGGAACCTGCGGGAGGTGGGGCAGTGGCAACTTTCCAGAACACTGGCTAGCGTCAATTTCAAGGCACTGTGAAAGGGGAAAAGAGGAGCTAAGCATGTCCTGACTCCAGCTAGAAAATGAGGCTGGAGAGACAGGGCTCAGAGCTGGAAAAGGAAGATGGCTCCAGTCTGGGATGTCTAGGTCTCAAATCTCCCTCCTCCCCCTTCCCACTCAGCTGTCTCCCTTCTCACCCCGGTCTCCTCAGATCCCAGAGTACCCCTTCCCCCACCAACTAAACAGCACTCATCTCATGTGCTCCACAAGTCTCTCCCACTCTCAAGCCACAATTTCTTTTCCCAACCTTTCTCTGTGTCTCCCTATCACCTTGCTTGGGGGACTGGCCCCTAACTCCATTTCCCATACTTCCTTTGCCAGTCCACCAGTCTCCTCTCTCAGCAGTACTTCCAGTACTAAATTAGCCTTAAGGAACTCACTATGGACCAGCCACTTAATACTGACCATTCCCCTCAAGCCCTCAATGGCTCAGCCCCCGCCCCTAGCCTGGCCTGCTTCAGTCCCTATACCTTTAACAAGCCTCCACGTGCGTGTTAACGGCGGTGACAGCATTTCCTTGTCTCTCTGCTCCCGCCCCCCGGAGGCGCTGCTCATTGGCCGCTGGTTCCTCTGTTCACGCTCTAATTGGCCTTGCTCGTGGAAAACTCCAACCAATGACCTCTCCGCGCCTATCTCCCTCCTCCGATCCTGGCCTCCCATTGGCTCTGAGGACTTAGGTCCTGTTAGCTGGGTTTGGCAACCGGCAAATTCTTCCTTACCCGGGGTAGACACCGGAGCTGAGAAATCGGTTCCCAACGTAACAGAACCTGGCGCGGAGTGACGCCGGGTCACGTGGCCAGCGGCCCTCATGACGTGTGGATTACGGAGCGTCGCCGTGACGTTCGGACGACGGGCCGAGTGGCCGGGCTACCAACGCCACCTGTGCGGTCGCAGTGCTATCATGGACCTGGGACCGATGCGCAAGAACTACCGCGGGGACCTAGAGGTGCCGCCATTGGCGCGGGGCCTCCCGCAGGGCGCGAGGGTAGAGGAGGTCTCAGAGTCATCTACCGGGATATGCGGGGTTTGGAGGAACCCCACGGGGTTTCTGGGATCACTCCTTTGGGGCAAGGAGATTTGGAGGTTACCCCCGTGGATCATGAGGGTTTAAAAAACAATGGTGAGGAGGTTCTGGGGAAACATGGATGCAGATGAGTTCAAGAGGCAGTATGTCATAGTGGATAAGGGCATGAACTCTGGAGCCTGCCTGGGTTGGAATCTTGCCATTTACCGTCTGGGTCACCTTGAATAATTTATTTAACTACTCTGAGCCTCAGTTTCCTCATCTGTAAAATGATACCTGTCTCATAGGGTTATGTACTTAGATATGTGTAAAGTGCTTTGAGCAGTAATAAGCACTTTATACACGATAAATAAAATAAGTAAAATATGAGGGGTAGAGGAATAACCTCACGGAGGAGGAGAGGTGAAAGTTCTTAGCTCTTACTACCTTCAGGTCCTTCTGCATAACACTTGGAGAAGTTTTTTTACTCTTTCTTCCTCAAGATAGGAACCAAGAGAACTGTTTTGGGGTTGGAGCCCAGAGCCATGGTAACTAAATCTGACTACGTTGTTAGTAACTCCTGAAATGCTTGTTAAAAATGCAGTTTTTAAATAAACCTCAGACCTGCTGAATGAGACTCTATGGGGGTGGAGCCCAGGAATCTGTTTTACTTTTTGAGGCTCTTCAGGTGATTCTGATACACAGATACCCATAAGATGAAACCCTGATTCATCTCTCACTAGCTGTGTGACCAGACATGTTATTGGACCTCTCTCTGCCTCAGTTACCTCACCTGTAAAATGGGGCCAGCAGGTGCTAGCCTGGGTACTGTTTTTTCTTACAAGGACTAAGAAAGTTAATATTTGAAAAGTGCTTACAACAGTGCCAGCTACTCAGCAAGTGCATTAACTGTTTGTTAAATGAAATAAGAATAAAAATCTCCACCTCAGGCATTTGAGGAGGCTCACCTGACCTCCCTGGACCCCATAAAGCAGTTTGCTGCCTGGTTCGAGGAGGCCGTTCAGTGCCCTGACATAGGAGAAGCCAATGCCATGTGTCTGGCCACCTGTACCAGGTAGGCATGCCACAGGCCCTTCTGTGGGTGGGTGTAGATGAAGTAGGGAATTTAGGAAGCTCTCAGTTCGATAAATGCCAACTTTATGATGCCAGCTCTGTTGTTAACATGCTGTGTGGCCTCAGACAAGTCACTTGCCCTCTCTGGGCCTCAATGTTCTTACCTCTAAACTGAAGACTGTTGTTGTTGGGTGGTGTTGTTAGGTGTTTCGACTCAGCAACCCCATGTGACAGAGTAGAACTGCCCCATGAGGTTTTCTAGGTTGTAATCTTTACAGGAGCAGATTGCCAGATCTTTTCTGTCATGGAGCTGCTGGGTGGGTTCAAACCGCCAACCTTTCGGTTAGTGGCCGAACACTTAACCGTTAGCAACTAGGGCACTAAATTCCATTTCAGTGATAAAATACAGTGCTTTGTTCATTTCTGCTCTTGATGCACACCCCCACCACCGCCACACACACACACCCCTGCCTCCTTCATCTACCCACCTACCCAGTTCCCATCTGTCCTTCGAGATCTACTCTTGGGACCTCTCCATGAAACTCTCTCCCTCCCTTGAAACTTGGCACAGTGCTGCACTGCTTGCCATGTAATTAATTCATCAACCAATCAGTCGTATACCCGTTGAGACATCTCATGTATTAGCCTCTTCTTGTATTTACCTCTTCTTGTGCCTGCCTCACAAAAGTGTAAGGCCTTTGAAGGCAGAGATCGTATGCTGTATCCCTGGGTGATCCCAGAGGTTTGCACAGAGGACCTGATGTAATTACACCTTCCCTGATCCCTAACTGTGAGCTGATTGCTTTATTGTTGCTCCCTGCCCTTAGGGACCCAGGAACTAGTGGCATATTTGTACCTCTAGGACAATTCCTCAGGGACAAGTGGGGATGGGTGAAGCAGACCAAAAGCCTGAGTGCCCAGACAGTGCAGAATAAGCAGGACATAGCTGTAGAGGGTGCTCAGACATCCTGTCTGGGGTGGAGGTGGTAGTGACAGCATTGCAACAGTGCTTTGCTGTGTACCTCTAGGGACGGAAAGCCCTCTGCCCGCATGTTGCTGCTGAAGGGCTTTGGCAAGGATGGCTTCCGTTTCTTCACTAACGTTGAGAGTCGAAAAGGAAAAGAGCTGGTAAATCATTGCCAAGGCCTGCATGCTGTAGCCCTTGCCTCCTCCCTCAACAGCCACCCATCCTCCCCACCCCCACTTGCTTCCAGTGCTTCAGGCTCCTTCCTTCCTGCCTCAGGGCCTTTGCACTTGCAGTTCTCTTTGCCATAAATGATTCATCTCTACCCTCTTCCTCTTTTATCTGTTCACCTTATTAACTCCTTGATTCCTACACTGAGTCAGTCCCTCATGCTGTTTGCTGTGATTGTAACTTGTAACTTTTCTTTTTTCATGGTTTGTAACTGTACATTTATTATGTGTTTATGGTTAATGTTTGTCTCCCCTGCTCTGTGGGGGCAGAAGCTGCATGGGTTTTATATCTGCTGTGTCTCCAACATGTATGCTGATGTTGGGCACAGAGTTAGTTGGCTGTTAGCATGCATTCAGTGACTGAATCCAAAATCAGAAGCCCTCCCTGAGGCCATGCCAGCCAAACAGGCATTTCTCAGGACTATGGCAAAGCCTCACTTTGGAGTCAGGCTGGCTTGTCTTATATAACCTCTCTGAGCCTGTCTCCACATCTGTAAAAGTAGGTCTGCCTCTGAGGGTTTAAATGAAATGCTACAGTAAATGCACCTGCTGTGGGACTGCACCCTGCAGATTCCTACCTTCCACCCTGCATGCCAGAAGTATCCTTCTCCTGTCCTGATAACTGTGGATTCGCTTCCATTCCAGGACTCTAATCCCTTTGCTTCCCTTGTCTTCTACTGGGAGCCTCTTAACCGTCAGGTGAGTGAGCAGTTTCCTGGACAGCCTGGGGTGGGCTGGGTACGGAGGGGCTTGAGTTTGTGGATGAGGCCAATGAGGGGTCCCAGGCTGGGCAAGCATCCTGCCTAGGCCTGGGCCACTCGACCTCTCAGAACCATTTGCATTCGACTCCGACTCCTGTAGCCCTATGTGTGTCAGGGTAGAACTGTGCTCCACAGGGTTTTCAGTGGCTGATTTTTTTAAGTAGGTTGCCAGACCTTTTTTCCGAGGCATCTCTGGGTAAACTCAAACCTCCAAACTTTGTGTTAGCAGCCGAGCGCATTAACCGTTTGCATCACCCAACGAGTCCCTGCCTCTCAGAAACAGCTCTCAATTGGCTGGTCTGGTTGGAGCCAGGAGTGGAAGAGTAGTTGATAAGACGAACAGAGGAATGGGGCATGTGTTGGCAGGGAGGGCAGGTGACACTGAACCCCATCTAGCTAGGGCCATCCTTGAGCAGGTGCGAGTGGAGGGACCTGTGAAAAAGCTGCCTGAGGAGGAAGCCGAGTGCTACTTCCACTCCCGCCCCAAAAGCAGCCAGATTGGAGCTTTGGTCAGCCACCAGAGTTCTGTGATCCCCGATCGGGAGGTAAGCGGGGCTCCTCCTCAGTCCTCCGGGTGGCAGAGGCCTTGACACATCCCCCAGTGACTGCTGGAGCCCTGTCTCTCCAGCAAAGAGAAAAGGACGGTCTTGGGGTGGAGAGTGGGGAAATAGGCCTCCGTTACTTTCTGACCTCCTGTTGGACTGTGTGCTTCGGGAGGCCAGTCTGCCTTGCTCACCTGTGTCCCCAGCACCTGGCCAGCGCCTGGCCTAAAGCACATGCTCAGTAAGTCGTCATTAAATGGCTCATTGACTGGGGCTGGCCCTTCCTCCATCTCTTTCTCTTGGACAGTATCTGAGAAAGAAGAATGAGGAACTGGAGCGGCTCTACCAGGAACGAGAGGTGCCTAAGCCAGAATACTGGTGAGTGATGCCTCAGGATCATCTGGGAAGGACCACCAGGACCCCCTTATTTACTTGAAGCCACCCTGTCCATGGGGTTATAAATCAGTTCCCCCCTGGGAACCCTGGTCAAAGGCATTCCAGCAGCTTCCCTCAAGGGGCCCTGGGGCAGGAGGCGGGGAGTGACCTGACTGGAAAAATCCACAGAGAGTGAAACCTCTGCTTCTCCTTTTAGGGGTGGCTATGTCCTGTACCCGCGGGTGATGGAGTTCTGGCAAGGCCAAACCAACCGCCTGCATGACCGGATTGTCTTCCGGCGACTACCAGCAGGAGATTCTCCTTTGGGAACCATGACCCACCGTGGGGAGGAGGACTGGTTCTATGAGAGACTTGCACCTTGACTCCGGAATCTGCCTGCACGGCTGGAACTGGGGCTAGGTGCTACAAGAGGGTGTGCGATTGGGAGCCAGGCCCCTCAAAAGTCAACCCATTTCCCTCCCCACACTTGTATTAGGGCTCTTCAGAGTTTGTCCTCCCAGTTCTGTCAGTTAGCTGGCCTAGTGGTGTGTGACAGTGGCATAGAGAATCACAAATGTGAAGTAATCCCGTAGTTGTTTTTCTTCCCCTTGACGAGGATTTATTGTAATAGCTCCCCCTGCGGGTAGCAGCTGTTGTGATTCGCTTCTCTGCTGACACCTGGTGGGCCCCCAGCAGCCCTGTCTCTTACTGTGTGACGGGTCATACTAGCCAAAGCTGATTGGTCCCAGTGTAGGCACCTGAGCCAACCTAGCCAATCAGATTTTCTTGTCAACAATTTGAAATTTGGAATGGAGAGACCCAGAGCATAGGAGTCTTTGTAGTCAATCCATTGTTGGCGGCCAAGAAGCAACAGGCCCGTGGTTGTGGCTGTTGGGATTCCCCCGAGCTGCCCTAGCCCCCTCCTTCCCAGGTCTGGGCTGTGCAGTTCCTCCTTCTGCCTCAGAATGCCCCACTATCCTCCCTCAAATTCGCTTTTTGGCTTAAGCTGGCTAGAATTGATTTCTGTTGCTTGCAACTAAAAGCCTTAAGTAATACATTGACTGATAGGATATTTTAATGGCATGTGCCCTACTAGACAACCGCCTTCCATTATTTGAAGCACAGATTAATTTTAATCCAGAGGCTCCATAGATGGGAATTGCAGGGAAGTTGGTTTCATCTCAATATGGGGAGAAATTTTAAACAATCAGAACTGCCCAAGGGGGAGTGCCTGTTAGGTGATGAGTTTTCTGTCACTAGGAGTATTCAGTCCCAGTTAGGAATTTGGTAGAAGGGATTCATGTGCTGGGTGGTCTACAGGCCAGGAAGATTTTAATCAAGCTTTACTTTCCGTTTGTTTATAAAAACTGTATATGTATGTATATACATACATACATCATTTTCCTGTTGTTAGGTGCTGTCAATTCTGACTCATAGTGACCCCAGGTGATAGAGAACTGCCTCATAGGGTCTTCTAGGCTGTAATCTTTATGGAAGCAGATTGCCAGGTCTTTCTCCTGCGGAGCAGCTGGTGGGCTCTAACAGCTGGCCTTTCGGTTAGCAGCTGAGCACTTAACTTTTGTACCACCAGGGCTCCTTTTCCTAGCATAAAATTAAATTATTGAGAGATTATGCCTTTCAGACTACTCACAGCTCCCTTTCCCCACTCCCCACTCCTACCCATGATGACTGCCTAGATCAGTGGTTTTCAAACACAAAGGACTCACCTGGGGAGCCTTAAAAGTCCTGTTGCCTGGGTCCCACCCTCAGAGATGATTTAACTGGTCTGGAATACTGCCTGGGTGTTGGGATTTTTCAAAGCTCCCCAGGGAATTCTTGTGCAGCCAGGATCGAGACCACTGGTCTAGATCTTTGCTACTTACCGTGTGGTCCACGGGCCAACAGCATCACTATCCCCTGGAACCTGTTAGAGATGTAGACCCTCGGGCTCACCCCAGACCCTCTGAGTTCTGTTCTCCATTTCAACAAGACCCCCAGGTGACCGTCTGCACTGGCCTCAACCTCTATGCAACGACCTCCCCCATCAGTCTGTGAGTCGTTAATAACCTGGGCTGAGGCCTGTGCTGAAATGTATTTGCTTTCCTTGAGCACACACCTGGTGACCAGGGGCAGCCTGGAGGAGAGGTGTGCTGCTGTGGGGAGGAGCCAGGCTGGTAAATGTTTGCTTTGACTAAGCCAGGATCAGAGAACTGACTATTATTTGTACTTGTTGGCAATGAACTTGCTACTCTATCAACTGTACTTCGTTTGACTGGATGGGTGTGTGCTTCCACGTCTCTTGTTGACTTGGTTCCTCCAAGGGCAGCCTCTCCTATGTTGATCCCCCCTAAACCAGAGTGCAGGGAGGCACAACATTAACCCCGTGGCCACCTGCAGGAGAGGGTGCCGGGGTGCCCTTCCCTACCTTGGCCTTTGTGTCCTTGTGCCGTGAATTTCAGGAGTATGTGTATGCATATGGGTGTCTGGAGAAGTGTGACACTCCACCTGTGTTCTTGGGGGCCGTGTATCCCCCCAACTTTGAGCGTGGTCTCAGCTGCTCCTTTCTGATTCTCCAGCAAACAGTCACTGTGCCAAATCTGTAATAAAAGCCTGTCAGCTGTGCGTGATGCTGACATTGAACCTGGCCTGGTCTTGCCGGGAAGGAGGGCAACTGGGGAATGTGAGTCTCCTCCCACCTCCCCTTTCCTCCCCGAGAAGGTTGGGCCTCCAGCAGGGGGAGCCAGCCGCCCAGGGTTCGCCCCTTCTGGGCAGCAAAAGCCCGTTCTAGCTGCCTCTCCTTCTCCCCCTGCCCCCACCTTGGGTCGCCTCCCAGTGAAACCGTGGTAGATAACCCGATAACCCGTAGCCTCTCCCAACTCCTGCACATGTTCGCGCTCACAGTTCCTCCTCCTCATGCAGTCCTGCAGCCGCCTCACTCTGACTCCCTGGGCAGCCAGACCTCCCTTTGGCTTTTAGTACCCCGCTAACCACTGAGCACCCCTCCTGCCCCCGCCCCCAGCTTAGGGATTTAAGTGGAGTTTCCCTGGGAGATTCCTGTGGAGATCACTTTGGGGCTGTGGAGGGACCATGGACCCTGTCACCTAAGAGGTGTAATCGTGTCTGTGATATCATTGGGGCAGGTGGCAATGCTGGTGGCCCAGGGCCCATCCTCTTCTCCCCACCTGCCGCAAGTGTAAGAGAACCCCAAGATGAGTTGAAGTGGAAGGTTCCCAAAGGCTAGAGTCTCAGGGGACAGACACCCAGCCCTGAAGCTGGTTGGCTTTTCCCATTGGTTCCAGAGTCTACACAGCGCCCTCTGGTGACCCAGACATTGCCCTCACTCCCACCTCCCCTTCTGCAAGAGGCTACTGTGCTCCCTTGTTCTGAGCCTCAGTTTTCCTTCCCCTGAGCAGACAAAAATCAAGTGGGAAGGGTCTGTGTGGTACAGTGGTTACATGCACACATCAACTCTGGGTTCAGTCCCAGCTGTCACTGTGAGCACCTGACGTAGGGCAAGTGACTTAACCTTTCTGAGCCTCAGCTAACTGGTCTGGAAAATGGGGATAATGGTAACACCTGTCTTGGGTGGTGCAAGGATTAAAGAAACAACCTTATAAAGTACTTGCCACAGGGCCTGGCCCGTTATAAGTACTCGCTAAATGTTAACTGTTAGTACTGGCCAGGGCTGTGGGGAAAGTCTGAACCCCATGGATTGGTAATTGGTAGGTCCCTAGAAAGTTCCATGTGGTGGGGAGGGATGAGGGAAGAGGCTTTGGGGAAGGCAGCACACCTAATCCTGCCTTCCCTCCCTCCCCCTCCTGGTCTCCCTAACTCATCCTCAGAGTTCCCTCGGCCTGGGTGAGGCTACCTAACAAAGGTCCCCTTGTACAGGTTTGTTTGTTTTGGTAATAAATTTCCTGAGCAACAGCTCCCTGGGGTGGGGTGGCCCAGCAGCGTGCAAGGAGCTGACCTGGAAGCTGCAGGACTACATTGTTTAGCTGGCCACCTTGGTCTCTCTCTGTTCGTGCCACAAACTCCAGAGACTTGGCCAATTTTTTTCCAGTTCCAGCTGCTGTGGATTGAGAAAAAGCTGGACCTTGGAAGAAAGGCCTGGCGATTTACTTCTGAAAACCCGCCAATGAAAAATCCTGTGGATCACAGCTATCTGATCTGCAACTGATCATGGAGATGATGCAGGAATGGGCAGCATTTGGTTCTGTTGTGCATGGGGTCACCCTGAGTCAGGGGCTGACTTGACAGCAGCTGACAATAACATCACAGAGCTCTCCTTAAACTGAAGCTACGGGGGATGCTGGAGTTCCTTAGTAAAGGAAGGAGAAAAGAAATCCATAGTTAACTGAGCACTTACGATGGGCCAGCCACTTATTACTGACCCCTCCTTGTGAAAGAGGTATTATTACAGCCCCCTTTTAAGGGAGACCCGGTGGCACAGTGGTTAAAGTGCTCGGCTGCTAACCAAAAGGTCGGCGGTTTGAACCCAAAAGTTGCCCTGTGGGAAAAAGATCTGGCAGTCTGCTTCTGTAAAAATTTATAGCTGTGGAAACTCTACGGGGCAGTTCTACTCTGTCCTTTAGGGTTGGTGTGAATCAGAATTGACTCGATGCAGTGGGTGGGTTTAAGGAAGAAGAAACCAAGGCTCAGAGGAGATTTTTTTTTTTAATATTCCCAAGATTGGCCAAATGCTAAGGAGTGGAGTCAGAATATGAATCCTGATCCCAAACCAAACTTTGAGGTCAGTCACTGAAGGTCTGCCCACTCTCTTGGGGCCTCTGATGGCCTCTCTGTGGCCGGAAGGAAGTGTAACTAGCTCTTTGCTCTCCCTCAGCCCAGCCCTGAGATGCTGAGGCTGGCTTGAGGGGGAACGAGTGACCTAGTTCCTACATCTTCACACCTGGATACCCTTCCTGGTGCCTGCAAGGAAGTTTGAGCACAAAGTTCCACGTTGTTTACATGAAGGGAAATAAAGGCGTGAAAACCAGTCGCCTCAGTAAATGCAGGACAAGAGCACAATAGGTTCTCTGCTTTTGCAGCATTGTTTATTACAAAGAGAGACCTGCAATTAATTTTTTAAACAAAATTCAAGGCTCCAGGACTCATCTCTGGGGCTGATCCGTCTTAAATACTAGTAGGGATCTGAGAGGAGAAGACGCGCAGCTTTTAGCTCCTCCACTGTCTCCCCCGTTAGGACTCTTGGTCCAGTGTGACTTCCCTTTGAGAGCAGGTGGCTGGGCATCCACATAAGTGGTGGCCAAAGCAGGAACTCATGAAGTCAACTAATCTGGCCTTCTGTGGCCCCATAGAGTGCCAGGGTCCTCTTCCCCCTCCACACCTGGTGGCTGAGTTCCAAGAGGTTCACCACTATGTTGGGAGGTGAGCTCAAGTTCAGTGTCTCAGTCTCCACCTTTGGCTCCAAGGAAACCAGCTCCCCATCACGTGGCTTCTGGAAAATGTGCTCTCCTCTGAGTTGTTCCAGGGTAGAGAAAGAAACTCACCCTTGATCCTGAGCTCAGGGAGGGGGCGGAGTCTGTCTGGCCACCTCTCTCCATTCTTTGACATGCCACCTGCCTGCTGGCACCGCCAGGGCTTTGTGGCAGACTGTCTTTCCAGGGTGGAAGTTTCTCTCCTCGAATCAGAGTGCCTTCTGTATGTGACTGGGGGAGGATGGGAAGACCTCGAGGTCTCCAGGGCCTTAAATAAAGCTGGATACATAAATACAAACCTAAAGCCAGACGTTGCCTCACCAGCAGCCGTCAATTGCTCCACTGTGTCCGCTGTGGCCAAAGAGACCATCGTTGCCTGCTCCTGTCCCAGATCCAGCTGATGTCAGGGAGCAAGGGCACTAGCATGCTCCTTGGCCCCCTTCACTGTCCTTTGTCCTCCCTGTCATCAAAGAGGTTGGGGTTCTCTGCCAGGGTGGCACGAACTTTTTTCTTCTCCTTGAACCGGCCCGAGTGGGAGACTTTGACATGCTTGCCCTTTGTGCTCTTGTCTACAATCTTCTCGAGGCGAGTGTTAAAGTCGCTGGTTGGGCTCCCACCCTCGGGCTGCGGGGGCTCCGTGCCCCCCTCCATCTGGGCATAGGTGTCTGGGATCTCATACAGCACCTTGGGAGTGGATTTATTTTTGCGGAGGAAGGTCAGCTTCCACCAACCAACTTCAGTCATGGTGATCCCTGATCCGAAGGTCGGGCTTTCTGCTGAAGCAGGGTGGGAGAGAGATGGAGGTCAGTGAGGAGAAGGAGGTGGGCATCCAGGGCCCAGAACTCTCTAGACTCCTAATCATGGGTGATTTTAATACCTTAGACCTGAAAGACTTGAAGATAGAGCAAAATGAACCCAGGATTCAGGTAAGTGGTGTGATGCAATGCTTTGGAGAGTATAAGAGAGAAGGGCCTGGGGAAGGGGTGGCCAGAGTCCACGTAGACAAGGAAGTCAGTGAAGCCAAACAGAGAGGATGGGGGACAAACACACAGCGTTTTAAGATCATTGATTCCAGGCCCCTCAGAGTACTGCAAACAGCTTATGCTCAACTACTAACTTAAAAGTTGGTAGTTTGAACCCTCCCCCAGCAGTTCCATGCCAGAAAGTCCTGGTGATCTGCTCCAAGAAAACCCTATGGAGCACAATTCTACTCTGTAACACATGGGGACACCATGAGTCAGAACTGACTTGACTGCAGTGGGTTTGGTTTGGTTTTCAGGGCCTCAGGGAGGGGAACAGCTTGCTTGGGTCACTCGGCATCCAGACATTTGACCCCTTCCCATGCTCTTCCCACCCCATGCCAGGCGCTGCTGCCAGGAAATGGGCAGATGGACGACCGGTATCAGATGAACTGAAATGCCCTGCACATTTTGCTTGGAATTCATTACAAATTCAAATAGAAGTTGTAATATTCTGAGTAATTAAGGCTTCCTGCTGGTGACCAACAGGCTAAAGAAGCCGCTGACCTTTGTCCAAGGGGGAAGAACCTTGGAGTGGGAGTAAGTGGGAAGTCTTGGGACTGTTCTAGCCTTGTGACCTCTGGCAAGTTACTTCTCTGGGCCTCAATTTCCTCATCTAATGTTAATCCCTGCCACAGAGGTAGACATGCTTTGCAAAGTAAAATTTATGCTAATGTTAATAAGTACTAAAGGATGGCTCCCTTTTCCCACCCATCTTCCCTGAGGACACAAATTTGAAAGAGTTCGGAAGGAGATTTGGTGCCAAGAGGTATGTGTGAGATACAGCCATCACAGGCCTACCTCCACACAGGCTCCTCATGGACATGGAGCGTGGGCGCAGAAATCCAGGCTTCTCCACTCACAAGCTGTGTACCCTTTCACACAGCTGCCTTCCCCAAGGACCTCACCTTTTGCTAATTTGCACAAAGGCACTGTATGAGTTAGTGGAAGTTCTGGGAGATGAAGATGCCTAGATATCATTGATATCTGAGGCATGTAGGATGGGAGAAGGGTACAATAGGCTAGAGGAATTAAGATCAATGAAAGAGCAGGCAGAGTGATGAGAAATATAGACATCTCTGGGCCTGGAGAGGCTGGTGGTCTGGCTCTTAGGACTTCTGGGTGTGGGTTGACACATTTCCTGAGGATACAGTAGTCCTGGTTGCAAGCTGCTGTGGAGTCAGCCCCAACTCATGGCAACCCATGCACAACAGGATCAGACCATTGTGATCCATAGGGTCTGCACTGACCGATTTTTGGAAGTAGATCAACAGGACTTTCTTCCTAGTCTTAGTTTGGATGCTTCACTGAAACCTGTTCAGCATCATAGCACCATGCAAACCTCCACTGACAAATGAGTGGTGGCTGGGTTGAGGTGCATTGGCTGGGAATCAAATCCAGGTTCCCTGCATGGAAGGCAAGAACTCTACCACTGAACCACCACTGCCCCCACAGTAGCCATAGAGTAGACCAGAAAGCTAGATGATCAGCTGACCTCCTTTTAAAAACTGGTGCCTTATCTAAGATACATACTATTGGTGTCTACTCATCTGGAGCTACAGAGAAAGAAGGAAACCAAAGACTCAGAGAAGAAACTAGTCTGCAGAACCAACAGTCTACATGAACAACGACATCACCTACCTTAAGACCAGAAGAACTAGATGGTGCCTGGCTATCACTACCGACAATTCCAACCAGGGACTCAATAGATGGTGCCGGATAGAATGGAAGAAAAATGTAGATCAAAACTCGAAGTTCTAAAGAAGGACAAAATTACCGGACCAGTAGAGAGTAGATGAACCCTCAAGACTTTTGCCCTGAGATACTTTTTAAACTTGGAACTCAAACCACTCCCAAAGGTCACCTTTCAGCCAAATGACAGATTGGCCCATACAATAAATATTATCACCTGTGAGTACTGTGCTTCTCAAAATAATCATCTAGATGAAACCAATGTTAACATTTACCCCAGACCAAAGGTGAGAAGGCAAAGGAGGACAGAGAAGCTAGATTAATGGAAACAGAACCACCAAAATGGAAATAACGAGAATGCTGCTATATTGTGAAGAATGTAACCAATGTCACTGAACAATATGTATAGAAATTGTTAAATGAGAACCTAATTTCCTGTGTAAACTTTCACCGAAAACACAATAAAATATTTAACAACGACAAAAAACTGATGGCCTTAACCACATTTTCTAAAAAGATCAGAAAAAAATATGCCCAACTATTAATAGTGAGGTTTTTTATATACAAAAAATAGAAGATACTTTCTCCCTCTATTTTTCTGATTTCCAGATTTTCCATAATGAGTATGGATTACGTTTTAAAGGGAGGAACTCATCAAATTAGGGGAAAAAGACAACAGGATGCTGGCTTAGGCTTGGAATGAGTTGTGTGCCTGCACACATCACCCATTGCTGCTGCTGTGTTCCGCCCCTCCATACACCCACCCCTTTTCCCAGAGCACATACTCAGTGGATTCCTTCCCACCTCATTGTCCAGGAAGCAAACCCCACAGTGCCAGCTCTGGCTCTGTAGCTGAGCTCAAGTAGCCAGAGAAGCCAAGGGGAGATCTTACGCCGCTCCTACTTGGACAATGAAGGAGTGGGTTAGGGTGGCAGACACATGCTTTCAGGGCACCCTGGAGAGGTGAGCGCACCAAGGGGACAGCCTGAGAGGTTTATTTTGGCAGCTTGCCCCTCCCCCTCCCCTGCACCTCCCGTCTCCACCGGGCTTAGCATAGCCTTGCACAGAACTCAGTATTCCAGAATGGGTTTCTGGAAGGAGTTGGGGGAGGGCAAGGAAGGAGGGACAGGGCACTTGCTTGCTCTGTGGGTGCCCCAGTCACTGCCTTGTCTGGGACAAGGCCTGCGGCCCTACCACTGACCATCAGGCCTGTCTAGGAAGTTGGGGAGTGGAGGAACAGAAGATCCAGCACTTTAACCGCAAGACTGCCTAGCTCCATGAGAGGAAGTGCCCGCTAAAATACATCCACTTTGACGGGTATTTTGAGTTGGCATCCATGGGGCTTTATTCCCCTTAGAGTAAAAGGAGTGACAGATTACAAGGAACTTCTTGTCAGAAAGCCATAAAAAATCAAAACCAAACCCGTTGCTATTGAGTCAATTCCAACTCCTAGCGACCCTACAGGACAGAATGGAACTGCCCCATAGGGTTTCCAAGGAGTGGCTGGTGGAGCAGAACTGCCGACCTTTTGGTTAGCAGCTGAGCTCTTAACCACTGCACCACCAGGGCTCCAGAAAGCCATAAGAGACAGGAATAGCCCACGGACCTGCCCTGGGGCCTCCACCAAGGCATGGCATTGGTGCCCTCGTATCCTGGTCTTGCACCCTGGTTTTTCTGGGAGGTTCTTTGCTAGGCCTTCCGGTCCCTTCTGTCCAGGAAGGAGATGTGAGCACCGGTGAGTAGGTGTCTACCGCTTTAGGCAAGCCTGACATATGGAAATCTGAATTTGCAAAACATAAATTAGGGCACTCTTCTTTGCTTTACAAAATAACCCAGCTACAAGATTCTTTTCGAGTGAGCTACCCCCAGATAGTGTAAAATCTGATTTGAGACATGATAGCCAAACTTTCCAGATAGCCAAACTGTAAATATACTTATAAAAAATACCTACAGCTACATGCCCAGACTAATCACAGAAGGTCTGGGGTGGAGGTGGCTTTTGGGATTTCGAACGGGTCCAGCATTTGGTGAAAGTTGGTGATCCTGCAGTTGGCCTGTGCAGGGCCCTGACCTGGCTGAGTGAGGGCTGGGCCTTTGCCCTCAGGCCCTGCAACCTATGGGGAGATGGAATCAGCCCTTGAGGATGCCAGCGCCACCTCCGCTGTCTGCACAGCTTTGGAGCCCACAAAGGGCCTGGAGGGATGCCTGCCACCATGGTGTGCACACAGGTGCCCCAGGCCAGCCCCTTCACCCCAGCTGGGTTCATGACTTGGCCTGGCCTTTTCCTAAGCTGAGATGGGTTAACCATTGACTAGGGGAGAGGGAGAGCAAGCCAGCTTCTAGGCTGTTCGAGAAGACTCAGAACCCTCTCCCCCAGGGCCCCTAATGCACTTCTCCACCCTGGATGAGGTTGGGGTGCCCTGGACAGAACAGGGAGGTGCTCCTGCTTGACAGCCAGAAATATTCTCCAGGCTTGGAGCGGAGGAGGGGCAGTGAGGTGGGTAGGGGGAGCTCTGGTTCAGCAAGAGTTAATAGAGAACTGCTCTGGAGTGAAACTTTCCCAGAAGGAGCTCTGCTGGAGGCCTGGATTAACTCCAAGATGCCAGCAGGATGAGTCCAGAGTCCTGCCTGCCCACCTACAGTGAGGTGGGAGACAGCACACCTGGGTTCTCCCGCCCAGTGGGCTTGTCAGCCAAAGAGGTGGAACGGGGTGCCCTGACTGGGGACTGTGCCTTGGACTCCCAACCCACCTGCCTTCTGCCTGTACCTGTAATCCTGATTGCTCCGGGCTGGAGGCAAGACCTTCCCTAGAGAAGGAGCGAGTGTAGCAGCTGCCCAGGAGGGTGACACTGGAGAAGTGGGGCTGTCTCCAGGGTGCCACGCCAGGCAAGGCTCCAGCCAGGAGAGGTGGGTAGGAGCAGCTGCACGTCAGGTGCAAGAGAAACAGGTGTAGGAGCAGGTACCTGCTCCCGCTGTGGCTCCTGGAGTCAAGGTGAACCTGAAACCCAGCCCCTCCCGGCTAAGTAAACAGAAGCAAAGGCCGGCTCAGGCTGATGAATATTCATTACCCTAGAAACCCAATCCTAGCGCCCCTGCACCCACCCAGGAGCCAGGGTCCACCAGGGACCACCAAGCCGGAGGAGGGAATTCCATGGGGAGTCTGGGGTTGGGGGAGCACAGGAGCCTCTCTCCTCAGTTTCCCCACCCTTGGGCTGCCTGGTGATGCCCCCCAGCTATAGCCAAGGTCACCCCCATCCATTCCGTCCCAGGAAGAGGCTCAGACCCTTCTCCAGCGTGAGCCATCACTTAG